AAAAAACATATTGTAATTTGAGTCTTATACTAACCGGCATGAATTAATTATTGGCCAATTTTGAAGCAAATTTGGTTCAAAAACTAAATTTCCTATAATAGAATCAGCTTTTTTTATATCCAATAACAAAACTGGATAGATTGAGGAACGGTAACTAAAATTTAAAATTATGATGAATAATACATATGATTTTTGTTTTAAGTTATTTAAATGGTGTAATTTAATTATGGGGGAAGGGTTCATCAAATTCTCTCYAAAAATTTCTTTTGAATTACTTAAAAATGTTGCATCACTATTTTTCAAAATTATATTTTAAACCCCTTTCCTCAGAATTTATTCTAAAAATATATTTTTATTTAATAGCAGTACCTTTCTGAGTATGGATCATACCAAGCGGGCGGTGCACTACCATAATGTGCACCTGAGTATTGTTGAGCATTTGTATTGTTAATATTCATTGAAAAATGTTCTTTAACATGATGTGGCTCTATATTTGCAGSCAGATAACCTGCTCTGACATTTTGTTGTTTAGGAGATATCACAATAGGTTTATTCGGGTTATTAGGATTAAATAATTGTTTTGCTGGATATGATGATTGTGTGGTTGAGGTTGTAACAGTCTGTTTTAAATAACCACTAAGGCTAAGTGACTTGCTATCAGTGGAATTGACATTCACATTAGGTGGTAGTTTTATAATACCACCAATATTTTCAGATTTATGTGGTGCAGATTTTTCACTGTTATTTCTATAATTAAAAAAAAAATTTTATGCATATTAAAAAAGTAAAAACAGTGTATATATAACCAACYTGTGTCTATGATTTCGCGAATGATTCCTCGATCGGTCATTACTACAATTTCTATTAGATTTAGATTTTTCTTTTCTCCAGTTTCCACCATTACTATTAAAGCTTTCAGAATTATCATTACTTTGAGAATGCCAGTTAGAGTGAGTACTACTAGATGGTTGGTCACGAGATGGTAATGTATTTATACAATTTCTATCCTTACTGGCACTCCTAATATAATGTATGATATTAAATTAAGATTTGCACATGAGCCATCACATTTGATTTATCACTTACTTCCTCTGTTTTCTATCCCTAGGAGAATTTGATTTTTTTTCAACAATTTCTAATCTTTCAACTTCCTTTTTAGAATCTTCAGCAACTTTGGACATGTTTTCAGCTCGCTCCACTTCTTCAGCCCAATTCTATAAAAATATTCAACATACAAAATTATTCAGTAAATATTRCTGTATAAGATAAAACTTACGATTGTACCACTAGGGAGTAAAACTGCACTTTCTATAGACTGCTTTATATTAACAGAATAATTGTTTTCAGTATCATCTCTAATATTATTATCTATAGTTTTGGATTCATGATGACTATTGTTGACAACTTTAGCAGGTAAATCAACACTTCGTTTACTTGATTCCGGTAAACTATCAACAGTATTAACAACTACGGGTGGCTGTCTCCTTATTTCAGTCTTAGGCGGCAGTTGATGAGGATTAGTCCTATTAAATACCTGTTCATGTCTTTGTGGTTCATTGAATCGACCCTTGCCACTTCTTGAAGGCAATGTTTGACTTCTAGATTGATATAAACTGTTTTGTTTATTATGTTCATCTTGAGACGGTAGTCCATTTGTTAACAATGCTTCTACTTCCTCMATAGAGATATGGTTGTCATCACAAAATTTTTTTCTTAATCTAGGAGGCAATTTTTCATAGTACATTAAATGTGTAGTTTGTATTGGTTTACTAGGCACTTTCTTTTCTTCTCGTTTCTTATTACCAAAAGTATGAGTTTTATCTGGATTATGTTGTACTGTGTTAACACGAGTATTATTAACCGTGATAGGTATAGTATCACTTGGAGCTAATATTTTTTCTGAAACAGTTGGTTTTTCATCATTTTTTTTAACCACTTTAGGAACAATCACTACATTAGGGGCTTTATGTGTTCTCCAATTACCGTCATCATCACCTTTGGAATCATTGGGATTTACAAAGTTCACTCGTGGTCGATCTGATCGTTTATCACTACTCCATTCATTAGGTGGCTCATAGAATAGTTGTGTTTTCTTAAGCTGTTTCCGTTTCAAATTAAATGTACTGTAATTATCAGCAGCAACACCGTTAATCTTTTGACCTCTCGGAAAATTTTCTTTTTTTCTACTTGGATTTTCAAAATGTTTATTTGGAATAAAATCACTCTTTTTTGATGATTCAAGGTCACGATCGAATCCAGACCGTTTATCATCATCTTCAACGTCTTGGCGAAAATTACCACTTCGTTTTAATGGTCCACTTCCAGGCCTGTATATTTCTACTTCTCTTGGAAACTTGTCCCTCCTTCCAAATTTATTACTCGAATCATCGCCTACATTAACAATACAAATATTAACTAAATTTATTAAGGAAAACTAAATTTAGGTAGGTATAGAATGCACAAAAACTATCAACATTTCAAAATATTCAGTATTTTCTAAATACACACTAATAGAAATAGGTACATTTTTAAATGATTAACATCATTTATTTAATCGTTACTTATTTTTAGACATTTTA